CACACACACACACACACACACACATATACACACACACACACACACACACACACACACATATACACACACACACACACATCCACACACACACACACACACACTCATACAGCACACAATCACACACGCACACACTCACAATCACTCTGACACACACAGATCGTTGACCGGCGCATCGACCACCTGGCGCTGCCCAAGACCTCGGCAGACAAGCAGATGCTGCAGGGCTACGCACAGGTGTGCTCCCACGACCAGCACTACCCCGCCGCCCGCTGCATGTCCGTCCCCCCCCTGCCCGGTGTTGTGGCAGGGCTGAGCCCCAACGCCATGCTGCCAGCCGCGAGCACCTGCGAGCCATGATCAACCCCCCAAATCCAGCTCGACCAGCCATGGTGACTGCCCAAAACGACTTGCGATCGCTTTGACATCTGCGAAGCCGACAACGCCGAAACGGCCGCAACCGCCTTGACCGTTGACCTGCTTTGACCGACCAACCGCCGCCAGGTGTACCTGCGGGAGATAGGGGACCTGCTGCTGCGGATGCCGCGGCCCCTGCTGCTGCTGCTCAAGACCAACGACTGCCTGCGGTCAGTCGACCACGCGCTCGGCAGCCAACTCAACACGGTGTGTGTTTGGGGGGGCGGGGAAGAGGAGAAGACGGGGCTTGGTGGAGAGGGAGAGGGGGTCGACAAGATCCGTGTGGTGGACGCCTTGTATTTTGTAGGGACGCGTTGGGGTTGGCTCGGCGGGGCGAGGCGGCAACGCGCGCCTTCACGTCGCGTGCTGCCCACTGCATCCTAAAACGAGGCCCACATGGCAGCATCTATCGCGGCAGCTTCATGTGCGGCTCCTGGGTTGCTTTGAACATCACAAGCCCCTCCACATTGTGTTATCTCTCTCCTCATGCCTGGCTGCCATCCAAACCCCGAGCCTCGTTTCTTGAACATGTGTGTGCATGCACGCTGTCATCGCAGGTCGTGATGACGGCGCGAGAGTGCACGCGGGCGCTGTCAGACATCCGGTCGGAGCGCGAGCCTGGCGTGCGCTCGTGGCTCATGGGCGCGTGGGACGCGGCGCACGTGGAGGTGATCGTGGCTGCGTTGAGGGTGGCGTCGCTCTGGGCGTCTCTGCGGCGGTCGCTGATGTCATCTGGGGCCGGCGGGCGCCGCGGCGGCGGGGATGGCGGCGGCGGCGAGGAGGGGGAGGCCGGCGGCGAGGGCGCGCTGCCGCCGCTGCAGCAGCTGCCGGCTGAGTTCGTTGCGGCGACGTCCGGCGCAGCGGGGGCGGGGGCGGGCGTGGCGCAGGCGGCCTGAGACGGCCGCGCGGCGCACGTGCGTCAAACTTGCCTTGCAGCCGGTGCAGCAGGCGTTTGCATTGGCGTAGACCTGGACTGCGAATGCCGGGCATCCCGCCGAGCCCTTTGATTGTTGCCGTATTGGGTGGAGCCCCGGCACTTTGGAGTGAACGGTTTTTTCCTGCTTATCCCTGCACAGCTTGCATGTGTCCAGGCATTCTCGAGCTCTGCTGGTTGCGTTTGTTGCGTAGAGCGAGTGCACGCCAATTCTTTCCAGGCAGCCGGCAGCCGAAGTGGTTGCGCTGCATTCCAAGGCTCTGTGCCCTTGCCGCTTGCTTTGATGCCCGCCGATACCGGCCCCGCAGCGCACAGCGCCGCCCGCCCGCGTTGGCTGGGCCCGACTCTGCCCTGGCGCGCGCGGGGCCGCAGACACACTATGCGACCTGACTTGACGTGCTTCCATGCACAAGAGTGGACTGCTTCTAAGTGTTAATCAGAGGTTTTGGGGCTTTTGAATGGCGAGGTCTACTTTCCTAGAGGGCGGGGGCTTGCTGCCGCGCAGCAAGGGGTCCAGTGGAGGCTTGCTGCAAGAACTAGCAGGCCCCTCCTTGTGACACCATCAGCACCAGAAACGCATTCAAGCAGCACCTACGAATTCAAAGGTGGGTTTCTCACCACGGAACCGGCGGACCCAGTCAGTGCAGGTTCTTCACTCTGCACACCTCGAGCTGCCGCCTGGCTGCTACAGAGGCAAAATGCTCAGCAACGTTTGGAAAAGCCTTGCGCAGGCTCGAAATGGCTTACTGAATTTTTTTTGTTGTCGTATCACGTTGAAGGCACCTACGCCGTGCCCCTGTCTTGGCGAAAACGCAACTCGCGAACAGCATGTCGCACTGCTCTCGGTGCTCCCCCCGAGCAATGGCGTCTAGGTGGTAGTGATGTCTTTTCTACGGGATGTGTGGTGGAGGCTGCAGCACTCCAGGTGTCACGGGTGAGCCGCGCATGCGCAGGCGACTGGGCGCTGCAGTCAGCGGCACCACTGCGCTGTGCAAGTGATAATGCAATGTGGGCACGCTCTGCGCTTGCTCCACGCAGCCTGGCTCTGAGGTATGGGCGGTACTCTCATGCGCTTAAGCTGGTCGTCCCTCCTGCCCTCCCCGCCCCTGCTTGCGCCCAGGCGGTCGCAGCAAGACGGCGCCAAGCTCCGCGCCTTCGAGCTCCGCGCCGACGATTCGCATGCGGCCGAGGCGCGCGGGTGAGTGCAGCATAGCGAAACACTTATCAGACGTTTTGACCAAGGCGAAAGTCTGCCTCTTGGCCCGCCGACACCATGCGGAGCGGCATGGCACCCACATTCAATCATGTATGCAACAATTCCTCTCCAACTGCTGCAGGCCCCCAGACCAGGACAATGCCTGTCTGGCGGCCGCGTGCGAGGATGAACTGCAGTTGCCCAGCCGGGACAGGTGGGAGACGCTAGATGGCGCGGCACGGCAGTGAGCAGCAAAGCAGTTGCGCTGCCGTGACTGTAAAGGACGATCATGGATCAGGCTGGATGCAGCATGCCTCAGCGCCCCTCTCACTCGCGTTGACGATTAAACTTGCCTTTCCATCAACCCTCCCCAAACCACAGGCCCCTGCAGGCATGCAGCGTTGATGCCGCCCGGCTGAATGACAACAATGAGAAGCCACCTGCGGCTAGTGCGCCCTTCCCGCCCACCGAGCCGTGCGGCGGCGCGACGTCCCCAGCAGCGGCGCCGATCGCTACGGCACCAGCACCAGAGGGCTGCGACCCTGACGCCGCCCCAGTCGCTGCGGCGTGGCGGCCGGCCGCAAAGAAGGGCAGCGGCCTCAAGGCGCTCACGACGGCCTGCAAAGCGGCCCGCTCGGCCCTCAAGCAAGAGCTTGTCGCCGCCAAGCAGGCCATGGCGACAGCTGCCATCAGGGCCCGGCGCGCGACGAGCAGCAAGAGCCTGAGCTTTAGCAGCAGCGTTGGCAGCCGCAGAGGCCTTGGCAGGGAGCGCGATCCTCACAGCGGCGGCTCCCATGCCAGCAGTTGCACTGGCCAGCGCAGCAGCAGCAGCAGCAGCAGCAGCAGCAGCAGCAGCAGCAGCAGCAGCAGCAGCAGCAGCAGCAGCAGCGCAGCAGCAGCAGCAGCAGCAGCAGCTCAGTAGTCATGAGTGGGCGCCGTGACAAGTTGGCAGCCAGGCCAGAGGAGGCCGTCGCCTCCAGGTGCAGCAGCTGCTGCTTTGACGGCCAGAAGGACCCCGGCGCAGCCCATACGCACACCCGGGAGTCAGGCATCAACATTGCAAAGCGGGGCCCTTGCCGCAGCAGCGGCGGCGCTCGGCGTAGCAGCACACCGTGCGGCCCTGATCAGCCCGCGGGCCTCGCCAGGTCAGCGCTGCTTGGCAGGCTGCGTCGCCGCCTGCAGAGCAGCTGGTCGATGGCATCAAAATGCAATTCCTCGCTGTCTTGCAGCAGCAGCAGCAGCGGCAACGACGCCCACAGCAGCCAGGTGCACAGCGACGATCAGACCGGCAGCCTCTTGAGTCAGGGCGGGACGGCTTCCGCAAAGTCGGGCAAATGCCTCCTTTGCAGGTGGCTGGCGCCGGCCCCGACGGCGACCGCCAGCAAGCCGTACCTCATCATCAGCAGCACCGCGACAGAGCTCCGCGCCGCCCATACGCAGCCGCGAGCAACCACAGCAATCACAGCAGACACAGCAGGCCTCTCTGAGGAAGCTTCCTCAACCTCCAGCAAATCAATTGGACCAGCGCTCGTCGCCGCCCATACGCAGGCGCGGGCAGACACGACCAGCAGCGCAGAGCAAATCACGTGCTGCCGCAGCAGCGGTTCCGCCCGAGCCAAAACCGGGCGATGCAGCTTCGCTCGGAAAGGCAACAGCGCCAGCTCAGCACTTGTCTCCAGCCTGCTGCGTCGCCTCCTGCAGAGCAGCCGGCTGGCATCCCCTGCAAAGGTTCACAGCTCGTCTCTGCCAGGCGTTGGCAGTGGCCGCGGCAGCCGCCAGCTGACCTTTGACAATGAGACTAGCAGCACTGCCAGCCGGAGCAGCGTTGGGGCGGCCTCGTGCAGCGGAAGCCACCTGGCAAACACAAGGCCGGTGATGGCGCGAACCATCTCGACTTCTCCCAGCAGCAGCAACTCAGCAAAGCTCGGTGCCGCCCATACGCAGGCGCGAGCAAACACGGCAGGTCCGAGCGGCATGTACGCTGCCAACTGCATATCTGCCGGTAGCAGCTGCGGTGCATCGCCGCAAATTGCCAGCAGCCAGACGCGCACCAGCGAGCCAAGGTTGCCCGGGCGGCTCCTGTCCGCCTGGCACCACGTGCGCAAATTTGCCAGCAGCGCTGTCGCGCGTGCGGCCTCGCTGCCTCGCGGCGCCGGGGTTTGTGCAAGTGCTGAGCTTGACAGGCAGGTTCCGTCTGCTGCAGTTGGCCTGACAGACCTCGAGCTGGAGTTTATGTTCAGCGCCGAGGCCCTGTTCAACGCCGGCGCCGTGCTCGGCGCCGGCGGGGAGGGCGAGGTCCGGCGCGTCTTGCTGGGCGGCAAGGAGTACGCGGTCAAGCGTTATAACGAGGACAGCTGGGCGGCGGAGTTTTCGCTCCGCCGCGAGCTGGAATCGCCCTGGCTGGCGGTGCCGCTGGCAGTGAACCAAGGCGCGCAATATGCATACGCCCTCATGGAGTTGGCAGCAGGCGACCTGCAGCAAGCCATCACCAGCCTGCACGCAGCGCAGGCAGGATCGCACGAGGGCGGCGGCGGCCTCATGGAGCCAGATGCTTTCAGGGCGGTCGCCGCCGAGCTTGTCGCGGCCCTGGGAGCCCTGCACTCACGCCGCGTGCGGCACGCGGACTTCAAGCCCGCAAACATTCTCGTCACTCAAAACAACCACCTGCGCATCGCGGACTTCGGCCTGGCCAGAGCGATGACGCAGCACGCCTTCACTTGCGGCACGCAGTTCGTTATGGCGCCGGAGCAGTGCGCCAGCAGCACCCTTGTCATGACATCTCTCCGCATGTGGCTCTTAGACATGGCATATTGGCTCGGATGGGGCGGCGACCATCGGCCTGTCGACGTGTGGGCGCTGGGAGTGTCGATGCTGATGCTGTTCAGGCCAGACGAGGCGGGGGAGCTGGTGCAATCTGCCCAGCGGCGACGCCCCTCGTGGCACGGCAAGTGCAAGCTGCTGCCGGCCTGGCTGCCGGCTGACCTGGCTGACCTCATCTTTGGTGCCATGCTGGTACGGCAGCCGGGCAGGCGTTTGACCGTTGAGCAGATCAAGCACCACCCGTTCTTCGCGGGGGTGGACTGGCCAGCTGTTGAGGCGCACAAAGTGCCCCTGCCCCTCGACCTTGTTGCGCTGGCGGCGGCTGCGCGCAACAATTCTGATGTCGTTGGACAGTCTGCTGGCTGTTAGTTCTGGGAAGTGCTGCAAGTGCAAAGCTCTGGCTTGCTGGGGCTATGCATCGGGATCTAAGGGGCACTGTGCACAAGTGTTTGAGGTAGCATGTGGGTGAGAAGTCAGGAACAAGATTGCAATTCTTTGGTAATCTGAGGCACATGCGCACAAGCAAAGTCAGCTGCCAGGACAAGCGCTGTTGCCTGTTCATTTCAGCACACAAAACAATTCCATGGGGTGCTGCTCGCTCGCTTGCGTGTCTGCGTAGTGAATATTTAAATGCTGGATTAAGCTGTCGGCTGCTGCATTGATCATGACCTGTGACGCAGTATCACAACCTCAGCAACAGGCACCTTCACTGCACTGTTTTGGCCAAGGGCAGCTCAAGCAATGGGGTTTGGGGCCACAGGCGCCATCAGAAGCGTATCAACTACCCCCCCAAAATGCATACGGTAATCGAAGTGTTCTAGTATCACAAGCCTTGGACTTTGAGGTTGCTGCTTGCTTGTTGATTAGGGCGGTCTGCGTGACTTCAATATTCATGATGTGCGATTGCCAGTTTGGCCAGCCATGCTTAGCACCACAGCGGCACCGCGAGCCCACCACCAGCTTCGAGCACGATCCATAGTCAGTTATGCTTCATTTGGCGGATTGGTGCCCTCGTCACGATCATCACGGTCAATGCACCGTACCTCACTCCAGTGTCCAGTGTAGTACGGTGCCTGGTGCAGTACCGACTGCTGCGTGCCCACTGCTCGCGCTGGTGCTTGCATCCGGTGAAAGTGTCCATAGTCGCCTTTATCCTGTCATCACATCATATCATATCTTACGACAGCCCAAGTTTGATGTTCATTGCTATAGATTCGTGTGTAGCTCGCATTCAGCGAACTCATATACTGCACTCAGATCACTATGGCCGCACGCTGGGAGTTTCCCCAGTGCCTGCCTCGTGAGCCCAAGATAGTCAGTTTTGCGGGGCTTGTCCCTGCCGCCCACGCCAAGAGGGTGAGGACGCATGGTCCAGTCAACGTCAATCATCCGCGCTGAAACATTGCTTGAGCTTATCACATAAAACGACTGGTGCTCTATCAACCTGAGCGCAGTTGTTGAAGCAGAGCGTGGCAGAGCTACGCGCCCACATCCACGACCTGCAGGCCACGCTGGTAGGTTGTCGTAGCGCGGCTCCACCCTGCACCACGAACTTTGCACTGAACGTGGCTGTTTATAATATGGCGTGTGCACGCGGAAGCGACGTACCGGTACTGCCTGTCTGTCATGACAGGATGCTTGACAGACGCAGCTCATAGATGCAGCACCGGCACTGCTATGATGCTAGTGCTTTCGCATCAGCATTGTGCCATGCAGCTGATCCACAACGCATTCTCAACACCATGCCATCTCTCCTACATGACCGACGCTGGTGACGGCGTGCATGTCTTCAGGGCAACCTCAGGGCGGCTCGGGACGAGGTGAGCTGACTGGATGTGAAGTTCCAGTACACTGCCCACTCCTGCACCTGCTGCTCGGGCGCCTGGCTCCCTGATTCTCCCACTCACTCCGCAGCACGCCCTCTGGCCAACATCAGGCCCTTCACGATGTGGCCAAGCATGCCGCGGATGCGGCTGACATGCAGAGGAAATTCTGCGCCGCCCAGGTGCGGCTCACAACTGTACTCCGTTTTCCAGGTATCGCACACCCCGTTTGCGCCCACCGAGTACGGCGCTGCCATGCACAGGGCAGCATCACGCCACCCTAACATGCAGCTGTCCTACGCCCCGACAAGGTGCGCCTGACGCAAGCGATGCCGTCTAATACCTACGCAACCCTGCAGTCGGACTCCGTTCGGCATGCTGGAGGCTCTGGAGGGCGCCAACAAGCGTGTGGATGCGGCCGACAAGATGATCGCCAGCCTGAAGGTGCACGGCCCGGCTTTGCAGTGCCTACCATACCGCGGTCCTATCCAAGGTGTCTGTCCCCAACCGTGCCTGTCTCGCTGTGCCGCAGCCTCTAGCGCCACTCCCTCCTGACTTGCCATCTGCCGGCATCATCACCGCACTTCAGGAAGCCCTGAATGAGGCGCTCCTCAAGCTGCGCGAGTCAGAGGCCGCCACCACCACCTTCAAGGCGCGCGCCGCCAGCGCCAAGGAGCAGGAGGAGTGGATGCGTGCTGAGCTCAAGAGCGCCAAGGTGTGAAGGGAGGCTGCAGGTTTGCGGGTTCATCACCCTTCCCTGCACAGCAGTTGCGCTCGCAGGGAAAAGTATGCTGTGTGAATGTCTGCATTGCCCACCTTGCCACTGAATTTCCTTGAACTCATGCTGACTGGTTTACCTCATATTCCTAAACCTCTGAACCTGATAGGAGGCGCGCGAGGAGTCTGGGCGGCGGGCGGCCAAGCTGCGGGAGGAGGTGGCGGGCCTGCGGGTGAGCGGGCCAGCCGAGATGTTGATTGTGTGCCAGCAGAAGCCTCTAGCTTCTCTTGCACAAAATGCTGCTGGATTGGGGCCTGCTTTGGCTGATGTCAGCGACATGCTCTCCTGTACGGCTAGTTCACAGTGACCCTGCTTTTCCGCGCTTGAGCTTGCTCCCTTGCTTGACAACCCTCCTGACTGTTCTGGTCTTATGCGCGCCGGTGCACAGGCGCGCACATGTACATATACTGGTAGTATACTGGCCATAATTGGCGGACCCGACCTGCTCTCAAACCCCGCTCCGTGTGACTGGAACCCCTGCAGGCGGAGCGGATGCACATGCGTGAGGCGCTGGCGAGGGCCGCCAGCCGCGCGGCGGCGGCGGAGGACAAGGCGGCAGGGTCGCAGGTGAGTTGGGTGCCCACACTCCAGCTGGCTCCTTGCTGCTGGCATTGCACTGAACAGCTGTATCGTTGATGGGCTGCTGCGGACCCGGCTCTGCGGCAAGAACGAGACATGTCAAGTATCCCGCGCATCCTGCTGCCAGCATCCTCGTCAACACCGCATGTTGCCGTCAGTTCACCTGAAACGCGCATGGCTGGGCCTGCCCTCACACTCCTTTGTGCTCTCCCAAAGGCCGACCTGGTGGACCTCAAGAAGAAGATGGCGGCCTTCGAACAGAGGATGGCCGCATGGGAGGCGTCGAGGGAGGTGGGACTCCAGTCTGGGCAGCGGCACGTGGGCGAACGCAGTGCCCCGGCCAGCCGCCAGTTGGTCGGATGCGCACACGCGCAGACGCGCTCATGCAGCTCTCGTGTTGAAATTTTTGGTGTTGGATCAGCAATCAAGCACAGCCCTGTGCATCCTGTGTGCAGCGAGCATCCGTGTTGTAGGCGGTGAATTGCTGTCTGCCGATCAATTTCACAAATGGCTCATGTCCTTGGCGTTCCTATGGCGCCCTGCGTCACATCTGCAGGTGCAGCGCAACGCGCGCGCCACGCGCCGCGAGGAGCTCGAGGAGAAGCCGGCGCCCAACAAGGTGAGTGTGTGTGTGTGTAAGTGTGTGTGTGTGAGTGTGTGTAAGTGTATGTGTGTGTGTGTGTTTTTGTGTGTGTGTGTGTGTGTGTGTGTGTGTGTGTGTGTG